CTAGTGTAAGAGAATTGACCATCTGTAAGGACATTGCCCAGGGGATGTCTGGATGCTCATCCAGAATCTCCCCGGATTTGAATCTCCAACCTGTCGGTCTCCAGTCCTGCCAGCATAATAATAATAATAATAATTATTATTATTATTATTATTATTATTATTATTATTAATACCCCACCACTATCTCTCCAACGGGGACTCGGAGCGGCTTACATGGGGCCAAGCCCGGACAACATATTACAGCAAAAATAAAACCAAAACATAAGGAACAAGCAACAGCATCAAAATTACATTTTAAAAAGCACATGAATACAGTAACAAAATAACATTATAATAAACACAAAGGTTTAACCCATTGACCCACTGGGGGCTCCTCACTTTTATAATAAAAAATACCTAGTTAATTTATAATATTTCTGACAACAATCATCCTGCAGATTAGATGAAAGTTTGCTGGATTGTCTGGTTTGAGGAAAAAAACCAGACAATCCAGGCATTTGTAGGAGTGTGGTCTTATCTGTCCCAGGATCTAGTTTTGTGGCTGTCCAAGTATCTGTTGACTCTGGGAGCCATTGCTGTCCTTCTAACTGATATCAATGCCATCATAACTTGATTTTCATAACTTGATTTTCAACGTATTCAATATATTAAGATCCCCCATCCCCCAATTGTGAATTGCCTGTTCAATTCTGATCAAATAAAAACACAGCCTGGAGATCTTAGTGATGAGACTTGTTCCTCAGTTCCTGAAGGCCTTTCCAGAACCTAGATGGCAGGAAGAGGGCTTGCAAAACACATATTTCGTGGCACTGATTCAAAACCTAGGTTGCTGAACAGTTTCAAAAACGGAAATGGAAAAGAGAAGCAGTAACAGTCATCATCAGTTTCAGGTCTTCAAATAATACAAAACAACTAAGGAGCCCATGCATTTTGGATACAGAATACCCAATCTGTGCTAAGTACATGCTTCTGTAGCAATTTCCCTGACCCAATTCCTGTGGACTGAGAGCAATGAAACTCGTAGTTCTTCTCTACATAGGTGGCACCTAGGGACACGCACTTTCCCCATCTTTTTAAGCAACTGTAAACACCTCGCTTGTAGAAGTTGACAGTTTGCTCCAAAAGCCACGCTGTGATCTGAGTCTTACCACTTGAAAAATTCTTGCCCTTCAAAAATAACTTCATTGTTGGAAAGAGGCAAAAGTCCGATGATGTGAGGTCGGGTGAATAAGGGAAGTGTGGTAGAATTTCAATGCCACAGGAGCATGCTTCCATTTGGGCAACAGGTGAGTTGTGAACTGGTGCACAGTCTGGCAGAAGGCGGACACCTTTGGGAACATGCCACATCTCTTGGTTTTGATGCCCTCCTGCAATTTCTGCAACAGTGAAGCACAGTATGTCCCAATGATCATGGTACCCTTTGCTAGGAAATCCATCAATACTACTTCATGCTGGTACCAAAATACTGTGAGTGTGACCTTGCCTGCCGAGAGTTGGGCACGTGCCTTCTTTGGAGGCGGTGAGTCATGATGCTTCCATTGCATTGATTGGACTTTAGTCTCAGGATCTTAGTGAGGGACCCAGCTTTCATCCTGTGTGATCAGTCTGTTGAAAAAGCCCTCCTGGTTTCCATGTCAAATCATCAATAGAACCTGAGAGCATTCGACTTGTTCCTGCTTCTGGAAAGGTGTGACCAGCCAGGGGACCCAGTGAGTGGATACCTTATGCATGTGAAGATGTCTTGGATGATTTTTTTTAACATTTTGAGCTAGGTGGTGAATTGTTATGAGGCTATTTTCCAAAATGGCAACCTCCACTTGCTGGATAGTGTGTTCTTCAATAGCAGAGTGGGGTTGCCCGGGAACTGGAGCTGTTTCCACCGAAGTCCAACCACATTTGAATTGATGATGCCAGTTCTTGACTGCATCATATGATGGGAAATCCTCACCATAAACCTCTTTTAAGACTGTTTGGAAGCTTCAAATGGTCCAACGGGCAGCAGCCAGGTTGTTAACAGGAGCGGCGCTCAGGGAGCACACAACTCTTCTGTTGCGTCAGCTCCACTGGCTGCCAAATTGCTACCAAGCACAATTCAAAGTGCTGGCTTTAGCCTATAAAGCCCTAAATGGTTCTGGCCCAGCTTACCTGTCTGAATGTATCTCTCCTTATGAACCATCTAGGACTCTAAGATCTGGGGAGGCCCTGCGCTCGGTCCCACCTTCTTGGTTGATGGGAACGAGGGACAGGGTCTTCTCAGTGGTGGCCCCTCGGGTATGGAACACTTTCCCTAGGGATATCAGATTGGCCCCCACCCTCCTAACATTTTTTTTTAAAAAAGGTAAAACCTGGCTTTTTGAGCAAGCTTTCCCAAATGCAGTGTAGCAGACAAACTCTGATCTTTGGAATGACTGGACAATGTGATTGGGTAATGATTTTAGTAATGAGATGCTGTGGATTTATATTTTTTTATCAGTTTTATTTTATTTTATCAAATGTTATTTATGCTAAATGTTTTAATTGTTCTTTGTTTTGTAGGCATCGAATTGTGCCATTTGTAAACTGTGCTGAGTAGCCTTTGGGCTGAGAAAGGTGGTATTAAAATATGGTTAATAAATAAATAATAAGTGAACTACAACTCCAAAACTCAAGGTCAATGTCCACCAAACCCTTCCAGTATTTTCTGTTGGTCATGGGAGCTCTGTGTGCCAAGTTTGGTTCAATTCCATCGTTGGTGGAGCTCAGGATGCTCTTTGATTGTAGGTGAACTATCCATCCCAGTAACTACAAGTCCCAAATGACAAAATCAACCCCCACCCCACCACACCAGTATTAAAATTTGGCCATATCTGGTATTTGTGCCAAATTTGGTCCAGTGAATGAAAATACATCCTGTATATCAGTTTTACATTACGATTCATACAACAGTAGCAAAATTAGAGTTATGATGTAGCAAGGAAAATAATTGTATGATTGCGGGGTCACCACAACATGAGGAACTGTATGAAAGGGTGGCGGCAAAATGAGAAGCACTGGGTTTATAGAGACTTAAATCATTACACACGTGCAGTGTCGGTAAACGGAAATGGGTCGGGACATCTTGAACGAAGGCCCCTCGTATGTGCTTCAAAAGGGATGGCAAAACACACTTGTTTCCCGGCACTTCTTCCAAATTGAAAGCGGTTCTTAGTGGCGTCAGTTCGAAATTGGGGCAGGGATGGGAAAGGGTTCAACCAGCTTCAACCAGTCTCGTTTCCCCGACTAACCCCAGGTGCCTCCCCCTCCTCCGGGGCTTTCGTTTCCCCTCCTTCGGGGCTCGGGGCCCTTTCCTTTCCCGAAAGAGAGCGGGCTGTGGGGGGGGGGGGGGGGTAAGAGAGCGAGGCCCTTCCCGTCCAATCAGAGGCCGAGGACCCCTCCTCCCTCCCTCCCTCCCCGCCTCCCTCCCCTTGGCGGCCTCGCCCTCGCTGCCGCCCATTCCGCTTGCGCCGCCCGAAGAGCATGCAGCACCCCTCCGACCCCGCCGTCTGCCTCAACATGCAGCCCTACAGCAGCGGCTACGAGAAGGACCCCAACCGGCCCTTCTTGACTCAGGCGCGGGGCTCCGCCGCCGCCCAGCCCAACGACTACTTCCTCTGGTCGATCTTCAACTTCGGCTTCTTCAATACCTGCTGCCTCGGCTTCATCGCCCTGGTCTTCTCCGTCAAGGTGAGCGCGGCCGGGGAGCGGGGCTCGGGCTCCCCTCGGCGATGGGGATGGGGATGGGGGGATGGGGGGGCTGCCTCTCGGGCCAGCCTCGCCACCCCTTGGGACTCCAATGGCATGATGGCTCCTGGGCGCTGCCTTCGAGCCGCCTTCCGACTTGGGCCAGCCTGAGCTTGTGGTGGCTTTCCAGGCAAGAGCGGGGTTTGCCAGACCCTTCTGCCCCCTGACACTCGCAGCAGCCTAGAGTAGCGCCGCGTCTTAAACTGTGGGTCCCCACCCCATCCGCTCAATGTTGGGGTCGCGAAATATTTGGCAACCCTAAAAAGTTTCCGAAGGCCACCTGTTTACACCCGTCGATGAGCGACCTCTTACTTAGCCGATCCCTCCTTGTCCGAGTAAGATTGTTCTCCAAGTGTGATGTCCTGGCGGTGGGTACACAGGTGACTGTGGAGCCCTCTTCTTGACCTGCGTGTTCTCCCGCAGTGAGAGTATCGGTTTCCCAGACGGTCGGGGTTGGCTTGACGCGCCTTCCTCTTGGCACGTTTCTCTCTTTTGCCCTCCATTCGGACCTTTTCAAATTCTACAGCATTGCTGGTCACAGCTGACCTCCAGCTAGAGTGCTCAAGGGCCAGGGCTTCCCAGTTCTCGGTGTCTATGCCACAGTTTTAAAGATTTATTTATTTCATTTATTTACCGCATTTGTATACCACCTTTCTCAGCCCGAGGCGACTCAAGGCGGTTCACAGTCGGCAGCGATTCGATGCCATAACAAATATCAAAATCCAGTTAAACAATTATAAAAACAATTCAGCATTTAAAATGTAATATAAAAAGCAAACATATCTGTGAAAAGGAGAGCCCACGTGTAAATCTCTTTTCCTGTCCTCCAGCATTCCATTTTCCACGCGAAGGAAACGCGGCCGCTGTTCTCCACAAAAGGGTCAACCTGTCAGCCCTTTGCACAAGCCTTGCAAATGCTGATTTCTTTTCAGTAAATGTTTGGTTTTTATACCTATTTGATACCCCTTTCTCAGGCAGAAAGGGGTCTTGAGTGGAAAAGGCGTAAGGCGCCCTGATCCCCAGCTCCTGGTCTACATACATAAGCAGCCTCTCATCCAAGCGCTGTCCAGAGTTGATCCTGTGCCATGTGCTATCGAAGGCTTTCATGGCCGGAATCACTGGGTTGCTGTGAGTTTCTCAGGCTGTATGGCCATGTACCAGAATCATTTTCAGTGACAAGAGGAAGAATGCCTGGTGTGGGTCAAAGGGTGTAAGTCTGTATCAGATGTGGTTTGTTCAAATTATCTCTCGCAATTGTCCACAGTAGAGAAGCTGGAGCACAGTTTCCTCAAAGTTCTCTAGGGAGACATGCTGCCATAGTTTCTCAGAGGCAGTGCTTGCCTTTCTTGTAAGCTTGCCATGCCGTTGCATAATGTTCCTCCCTCCCTCCCTCCCTCCCTCGATCTTGTTTTTCTGTGCCATAAGTGCAAATGGATCCTGCATCACATTCTTCATGACTTTCTACATGCTGGCTACTGGCTAGATCAGGGGTCCCCAGCTTGCCCTAAATCTGAAACAACTTGAAGGCAAGCAACAACAAAAATCCTAATGAACTTGACTATCTCATCAGCCAAAAGCTGGCCCATACTTGGGCGGGAAGTTTATGTTGGTTAAAATGGTTCTTTGTTGTAAATATTGTAAGTCTTTCATGGTTTTTTGCACTACAAATAAGATATGTGCAGCGTGCGTAGGTGCAATTTGTTCATTTTTTTAAAACTATAGTCATTGTCCCCCACCCCCTCCCAACAGTCTGAGGGACCATGAACTGGCCCTCTGCTTTTTTTATCATGTCAGAAGCAACTTGAGAATATACTGCAAGTCACTAATGGTGTGAGAGAATTGACCGTCTGCAAGGATGCTTCCCAGAGAATGCCCGGATGTGTTACCAATCCTGTGGGAGGCCTCTCGCATGTCCCCGCATTGGAAGCTGGGGCTGACAGATGGAAGCTCACCCCACTCCCCAAGTTTTAACCGCCGACCTTCAGATCTTCAGGTCAGCAGTTCAGTCAGCACAAGGGTTGAACCAATTGCGCCACCACAGATCCACCCTCTGCTTAAAAAGTTTGAAGACCTGTGTGCTAAATCCTCTTGAAAAGCACACATTGAGTTTCCCAACCATCCATATTGCACCTAGTGCTGTATGAATATCATTTGAGTAGGTCCTGATCCATGGAGGGAAATTTCCTCTCTTGTAGCAGTTTCCCTATATTTCCTACTTGTTACTCTATGTATCCCATGACTAGATGGTTATTGGTTTATAATATTTTAATGTTTGCCAAAACAACTTTATAACTTCAATATTAATATGCCCTTGAAGGTGAGGGGGTGACTATTGCTCCTTGTAGCATGTTGCTTGATCATTTATTTATTTATTTATTTACAGCTTTTATATTCCGCCCTTCTCACCCCGCAGGGGACTCAGGGTGGATTACAGTGTACACATATATGGCAAATATTCAATGCCAATTTTAGCATACAACATATACAGACATACACAGAGGCTATTTGACTTTTTCTGGCCGCCAGGAGAGCTGTCGCTTTAATTGTCCATCTGCGACGCTGATGAAACACTTCCGCATTCCCGCATGCTTCCCCGCTGGAATACTTTGCTGGAGTCTTCTTTATGGCCTCATAAATCAGTTAATTTAGCCTCCCCACACTTTAAGGTGGTACCTTATTTTCCTACTTGACAGATGCAACTGTCTTTCGGGTTGCAAAGGTCGACAACAGGCTACACACAATTGGTTGGAAACCCACTCCAACCCGGGCTGGCTTCAAACTCATGACCTTTTGGTCAGAGTGATCTTAATGCAGCTGACACTCAGCCAGCTGCGCCAAAATCCCGATCATCTCATTGTATCCATCCAATGTACAGAATGGGTGATGAATTATTTTATCTATTTGTTTGATTAATGTAAATGTAAATCTCTTGGTCCCTGTGTTGAACCCACTGTTTTGTAATCCTTGCAGTACTGTTTCTAACTTTGTTCTGCTGATATCGTGAAATATGAATGAATTCTCAAGCCTGAAGCCACCTTGAGAAAGGCAGGATAGAAATACCGTAAATAAATAAATGATGTAATCTGAATAGTAACTTTGACTAACACAGTTGGTTATTTTTTAATGATTTTTCTACAAAAATGTATTATGTGTACAGAGATACATGAACTGTTTTGCTTGAAATCTCTTAGGGCTAAGATAAGAATGACTGGAGATATAGGCAACACACCTTGATCTTCATGTGTTCCCTTAAGGGCCGGGCTTTAGCACAGCTGGCAAATCATCAGCAATGATAAGACATAGCAACTGAAAGGTTGCCAGTTTGAAGCCCCATGTCAGCCTGAGCACACGACTCTCAGCCCAGCTCACTGTTTACCTAAGCAGTTCAAAAACAGCTTGAGCTGTAAGTAGAGAAATTAGATACTGCTAAAACAAGCAGGGGAGGTATTTTAGGACACCATAAAAAAAGATAATAAAATGCCCGGCAACCAAAAGGAAGGAGGAAGTCTTGATGGCTCTTTGTCATAGAGAATGGAGCAACAGCACCCTCCTGTGGCTGGATTCAAGCACAACCCCCAAGGTGCCAAAAAAGCTGGACATCGACACAACATGCCTCCTTTCTGTTCTATCTGTCTCTGTTCTGTCTGTCTCTGTCCTGTCTGTGCAAAATGGCATTGAATGTTTGCCGCGTATGTGTACTGTGATCCGCCCCAAGTTCTCTTGGGGAGATAGGGCAGGGTATAAATAAAGTGTTATTATTATTATTATTATTATTAGTAGTAGTAGTAGTAGTAGTAGTCTGGAAAAGCATGATTTTCAAAATAGAATTGCTTTGTAATTCTTGAGTTTTTGCAATAAGGATGCTGAAGTGGTGTACATTTCATAGGAAACTGACAGCTGCTCTGAGTCCCCTTCAGGGTGAGAAGGGTGGGATATAAATATAGTAAATAAATAAAAATAAACAAATAAATAACTTCAAAAAGAGTCACAATAAAGTGGGCTTTGCATTAAGCAAAGTTTGTGGAAAAAAATGAAATTATGGCTAGACTATTTATTATTTATTTACTGTATTTGTGCCCTGCCTTTCTCACTCCGAAGGGGACTCAGAGAGGCCTTACAACAGGCAACAATTTGATGCCATACATTTATATATTATAAACGAATACATTAAAATCCAAGCAGTTAACATAAATAATTAAAACATCAATTTTGAGCAGACTACAACTGCTGAAGAGAGCATGATTTTTCATTTTCCACTGGTCTGTGGGCACTGAGAGTAGTGTACAGGAAAAGTTAGTTGTGATGTTGAGTCATGAATGGTGCACTTGAACAATGAGCAACCTAAAGCATGTATACAAATGTTTCTTCTCCCAATTTTAACTCTCTATTTTTCTTTTTTCTTTCAGTCAAGGGACTGTAAAGTTGTTGGTGATCCTGAAGGTGCAGCTCGCCACGCCAAGACAGCCAGATGGCTGAATATCTTTGCTCTGATACTAAGCCTCATTTTCATAGTCGTCTTCGTCATCATAATTTACACCAGTTCAGCTGCTATAATGGAAGAGTTGCAAAAGCGCCAGAAAGGGCAGTAATCGCAAAGAGATAAAAATCTTGCACCCAGAATCATCTCCCTGGCATCATACCCATGCTTCGCAGAGAGAACCGTGTCTTCTGCATGCAAACCAGCTAGCAGTACTTGCAAGCTAGAAATGGCAGAAGTATACTCTTATCTAGAGCTCTGTAGCCGCTATTTGCCTTATCAATACTGACAGGAAATTTGAATCATGCCCTGTTTGTATGAATTATGCCCTTTCTGTCCCACAATCTGGGTTTATGGCCTTGCCAGTGCCTGTTGACTGTGTTCTATCTTGTTTTCAGTGTTTTGATAAGCCTTTTATTCAATATATTAGGTTTTTTTCTATACAGATATGAAGTGTGTGGCAAAATCTAACCAAATAAATGCATATTCTTTTAATTCAAATGTCAGCAGCTTTCTTTTTGATTAAAAAATACATTTAAACTCTTCAAGGAAGTAACAATCATTCTGCAGAATTTCGTTGATAACAGCAGTTTGATGGATTGACTGATTTGAGGAAGGAGCATTTTCAAGCACTATAAGATCATACAGGGAATTCCAGGATCTTACGGGCAATTTACCAGAGCAGCTCCAAAATGGGAGAGGAATCAGGTTGAGAACAAACTCATATTGAAGAAAAAAATGATTATTTATTTATTAAGAAGACTGAAAAGTTTTTTTTTTTTGGTCGTGTCAGGAATGACGTGAGAAACTGCAAGTCGCTTCTGGTGTGAGAGAATTGGCCACCTGCAAGGACGTTGCCCAGGGGATGCCCGGATGATTTGATGTTTTTATCATCCTTGTGGGAGGCTTCTCTCATGTCCCCGTATGAGAAGCTGGAGCTGATAGAGGGAGCTCACCCGCCTCTCCCCGGATTCGAACCTACGACCTATCGGTCTTCAGTCCTGCCAGCACGGGTTTAACCCACTGCACCACTGGGGGCTCCATAACTGAAAAGATAGCAAGAGAAACTCAACAAAATAGTTGGTGTCAATATAAGTTGTTTTTCAGAATACAAGGACAGTGAGAAAAGTCCTACTCCTGACCAGTCTAAGAACTCTATGGGGTGCAGCTAAACTTAAGTAATTACAGACAGAGGGTGCATCCACATGGTAGAATTAATGTGGTTTGACACCACATTCACTGCCATGAAACAATGCTATGGGATCTTAGGAATTGTAGTTTTACAAGACCTTTAGCTTTCACTGTAAAAGAATGCTGGCACCTCAACAAGCTAGAACTCCTAGAATTCCATAATATTCTACCATGGCAGTTAAAGTGATATCAAACGGCATTCATTGTAAAGTAAATGCACCCTACAACACATATGATGTGAAGAGAAGTGCAGGTAAGGTGGATGGCTGAAGATGCGGCAGCAGCACCACTATCAAATGAGCCCCTTCTACACTGTGCTTATATCCCAGGATCCGATACCAGATTATCTGCTTATGCTAGATTATATGGCAGCAGGCATATAGCCGGGGGGGGGGGGGGGCTTGGGGGGCTTCAGCCCCCCCCCCCGAAATTCTCATGGTGGTCCAAGAAGGCCTTACTGGTACATTATTTAAACTGTTATGTTTATTCATATCATGATCTGATCACTATGCTCAATATATCCCATATGCATGGGGGTATTGGGGTAACGATACAAAAGGTTTGCTAGGGTAGACCCTCTTTCACTCAGACTCAGCCCCCCCCACCCCCCGACCCCCCCCCCCCCCCCCGAAATCAAAATCCTGGCTATGGGCCTGTATGGCAGTGGAGACTCATATAATCCAGTTCAAAGCAGATAACCTGGTATCAGATCCTGGAATATAAGGACAACGCAAAAGGGGCCTAAGAAGGCTGGGAAGCAAAATATTGATGGAGAAGACTTTATTAAGATCCTTTGGAGACTCTGTGAACAATTTCTCACTTGGCGTAAAGAAGACATATCTGTGTGGGGCAAAACATGACCTAAATGTTATTCTATGGGCAGTTTTAAAAATACTGTTTGTGCTTAAAGTGACATGCATAAAGCTTGTGCCTCATGTGCAAAAAGGGGCTGTGCAAAGGGCAGGTATAAATATAACCTTTGACTATGATCCTTTGGGTCCTAGGAATAACTCTTAAGTGGTCTGCGAAGATGAAACCATGGACTTACATTGCTCTCTTTCAAGTGTAAACAGGATTGCCTAACCATTGGAAACTGCAAAATATCTTAGAAAGGAGTGTATGTAACAGTCTGAGCCAGCTGGGCAGGATCTCTATTCAGTAGAAGCCAACATGACAATCAAACAATTCCTGAATGCAATGAGACCATTTCCTTGCCTACAGAAGGGAGGGTTTTTGAAGGGAAATTCTAGTTTATATTTTAAGGTTGGACTTCTTCCAAGATAGTCAGGAGTCCTGAATATAACTGCCTACTGTGCCAGAATGCCTTTTGCAATTAATTCAGACTCTGTCAAGAGGCAACTACCTACCTAAACTCTTGCTCACAGCTTATATTTATTGGATATAAGATAACAGTCTCCCACATCTCACATGGCATGGGCTATTATCAATATAATACTCCCATGTCAAACAAAACAACCTACTTTACAGCATGGTTTGTAAAGTAAATAAATAATGGAAACAATAAAGGGCACAGATGGAGATGTTTTTCCAGGCCCTGCCTTAAATAGTGACAATTTCTTGGCAGCTGAATAGCTTTTCTACTTGATCCTTTTCCGCTCCCAGCCAAGAACAAGAGAGAGCTCCTCCTTTTTCTCCGACTGCAATCAGATTTATCCTTTTATGCACTTTTGACTTTAGGAAAAGCAGTAACAGAACTCCACACCTTCTGTTTTTGATCAGCAGTATAATCAAGGATGTTATTTACTGGCAATGAGCTGGAGAAATCGTGGGAAGCAACCAACATACTCCAAACTATTTTTGTCTGCTCTTACGTACTAATAAAGCAGTAAGCCAGAGGGGCCAAGGAAAGGGGAAAGATGGAGAGTTTATTTTTCAATGCACTCCAATTTCTTTATCTTTGCCTACCCTCCCCCCCCCTTTCCTGCCTCCTATCCATCCACTCACAAATATAGCTTTTCTTGCTTGTAAACTTCCTGTAAGGAAATGCTTGTCCCTTATTTGAACAGAATGCTAGACTATAGATACGTCTACATTTAACCTTTTTTAAAATAATAATCTTTATTAAATTTTCCAGATATTAAAAACAGATATACTATCACAACATGCTAACACACATTAACAGAGAGAGGGGTTTGGGTGGGCTCGGAAAAAGGAAGGGGGGGGGGAATGGGAAAAGACAGAAAAAGATAGAAGAAGAGAAGATAGAAGAGTGGGTAGGGGAAGATGGAAGAAGGAGATAGAAGAAAAGAAGAGAAGAGGAGAAGGGGGAGGGGGGAAGCACATAGGGTAGAAGTGTGCTATGTGCATAGAAATACATACAAAACGACAAGTTTCCAACACAAGTTTAAAAAAGACTTCCTTTTTGTGTCCCTTCGGTATTATTATAAGTAGCTAATAGTAACCCCCCATTGTCTCTTTATTTGAGATTGGGGTCCCAGTGACCTTTTGACCCTTATTTTTCGTGCATTATCTTTTTGTTCTCTTCATTGCAATCCTTAGGCAGTTCTTTCCTCCACTCTCCTTTTCTCATAGTCCTCCACCGCTTCCCAGTCTGTCTTATTGGGTTCCCGGAGCTTCTTTTCAAGTAAAATGAAAGCTTGTCCATGTCCATGTCCTTAATATCTGTAAGTTTGTCAAACCATTGTTCAACTGTGGGCGTCTGATCTTCTTTCCAGACTTTTGCGAACATGATTCTCGCCACTGTGGTTATATATATGAGTATGATGTCCTCGTTTCTTTCTAGCTGTAGGTCTTCTTCTGTTAACCCTAGAAGGAAGATTTCCGGTTTCAAGGGTATCTTTTTCTTTAGGATTTTCTGTGATTCTTCTTTTATATCTTTCCAGTATTTGGATGACGCTGGACATGACCACATGACCACCACATGTGGAAGTAGCTGCCAACTTGCTTCTTACACTTCCAACATGTGTTCTTGTATTCTTTGTACATCAGGCTTAGTTTTTGTGGCGTCATATACCAACGGTGGAAGTTCTTGAGCCAATTTTCCTTTAATGAAATTGAGTAAGTGTATTTTAGGTTTTTTTGCCAGATATGCTGCCATTCTCTGAATCTTATTTCCCTACTGATGTTTTTGGCCCACAGTACCATACAATTCTTGACCCCCTCTGTTTCCACCTCCCAATCCAGCAGCTGGCTGTATATTTTTGTTATGGTCTTTTTTCCAATATTAATATTTTATCCCATATTGTATCTTTGTTCTCAAATCCCTTCTTTTGGTCTTGTTTAAATGTTTCCCTTATTTGGTAATATTTTAACCATGTTATGTTCCCTATACTGTTTGCCATTTAACCTTATTCCAGTGGAAATCTACATGCTGAATCTGGGGCTGTTATTCAGATAGGTCAGAACTGTAGTGACTCTGGTGGATTTTCATGTAATCCTCTGTGTTGCCACTCCTACGCGACTGTCCAAGCACCTGGCCATCATAGTCACATTTGCTGGTATCACAACAGGGTGTCGATGTGACCATCTCCCCTGAGCATGGCTATGATATTAGAGAGAAGATCCCACTGATCTTCTCCTTTCTAGTTTTGCGGATGGCTTATTATGATATCCCCAAACACATCCTTGGTGGCCAGGTGTTTGGACGGAGCTCCAGTAGGAAGTTGTGGCAGTGGTGAGTTGAAGAAGAGCCATCCCTTTTCCCTGTGCAGATCAGTACAGGGAAGGAGTGATGGTGGTGGTATCATCTGGGCGACAGATCATTCGGAAACAGACCCAACCCAGCTGTCCAGACTTTCCCAAAGGCCCAGGACACTCTGGAGCAGGGGTGATAAACTCGTTTTCACTAAGGGCCACATCAGCCTCATAGTTCCCTTATACAATCCTAAGACTGTATAAATGTAACTACAGAGTCCCTAAGTTATGAGCAATATAGGTTATGTAGATTTGTTCTTAAGCTGATTTTTTTTGTAAGTTGGAACAGTTACATTTTTAAATGTAACACTAGATATATATATAACTATATCTAATTTATATCTATATCTAAATATAAGGTTTTGACCAAAAAAAAGAGTTAACACCCCTGCAGTGATTTTTTCTGGTGTCTGTGCCCCTGTTCAGAATTTTTCTATCTATTTTTTGTCCCTGTGATAATTGGATTTTGTAAAAATTGGCTTGTTGTGGAAACAAGGATCGATAGTAAAGCTTCTGTGGAGACACCCCTTTCCCACGATAACTCTTTCAGGAGTGAATTTCCCTTCTGAGAGATAGATTTATTTCACTTTCTGTTGTCTCACCCCTGTTTGTAACTATGAGTCATTTGA